GAAACCAAGATTTATCCAGCACGCATGTGTTTGAACAGATGCGTCACCATTAATTTCCATTTCACGCGGCGATTTTCTCCCGCGAGCATATTTTTTTTCTCATCATCTCTTTTTTCCACTAGAAAAAGAAACAGAAGAATTATTAAACCAGCAAGCAAATTGAATTGAATAATGAAGGAAATTTTTTCAGAGAAAGGAGAATTGCTGATTATTTTAGGTCGTCTTCAACAATGGATTTGGGGGTCAGAACCTCTGCCTAAATAATAATCAATCAATTGATTTGGCTTCGTGCTTGCAGGAAAAAAACAGCGGTACAGGAAAACAGGTTAACAATCAAATTTGACTTAGCTTAATTGAAAATTAATAATTATAATGTGTATAATTACTTCACTTGAAAAAAATTATGCTTAGAAAGTATGTTTTAAATAAAAACTAAAAATTAATACATTATTCATAATTCTAAACAATTTTATTTAAGTAAAAAAATTTATTATTGTTTAATAATTTTTTCAAATTATATCATTTTTTAATCTTTAGCCAAAAATTTTAGTTTTTAAAATTATAATTTAATCTGCTAGTTGTCTTATCAATGTTAATTATTAGTTACATAAGGTAATAAGAAAATTATACATATTAATTTATCAAGAGGATATTTCTTATATAATTATTTCATAAAACAATTCTAATAGCCGGTTACAATGTTAATATTATCTTAAATAAAATTTCCTAAAAATTCTTACAATAATTATCAAGAAAGATTCAAGCAACAGAACACGTTTATTAAAAGTATACAATGAAGAACAGAATAAGAATTATCTAGAAAACAAAACTTGACAATTAGTGCCAATCAATTTTAATCAGTGGAGGCAAGTGGAGGGAAGAGAAACTGCAAAATAAAGTTACGACTTTATGACCTGTGTGAGAGCATCATGTCCGGAAAATCATTTGTCAGAATTTGCACTGATCGCACATGGCGATAAAGAGAATGCACGCGTATATGAAATATTGGACACATTTGAGAGTGAAATCCTCCGTGCCGTATTTTAAGTACTTTCGAACCGGGACCCGAAACCATCTGCCAGCCGTGGGGTCTCTCGTCACTGCAAATGAAGCGCCAAATCAATTTTTCACAGCATCAAACCCTTTCAACGCGCGCTGCATTTTGTTTATCTCTAGGCGCTGTGCTTTATCTGGCGCATCAATTGCTTGATCACGGCCTGTAATGGTGCGCGCTCTTTGCAAATAGGCTCGCAGCGGGAACAAATTTGCGCCAATTTCCCATTCAACACAGCTCTCATAAATTTACAGAGCTCACCTGAATTTTGCTTTTTCGGTGCTGGAAAAAGGCGGACAGATTGATTTTCACCTCATGGCAAGTTGTAAATCACGAAAATTTTGTACTGAAAATAAAAATCTAAGCGTATCTACATTTTTTGTTTTTGTATCAATGTGGACAAATAAACAACAATAATTAGCCTTATTTTAAAAATCGTTATAAAATATATTAATTTCCTCTATATAGTCGTAAATAAGTCGTTTGCATCAAATTTTCAACTTGTTGTCAGAATTATCTCTCTTTACAAAGCGAGCTCAATTAAAGCAACACAAAGCTTAATATGGTGCTACCTGATTATCACGTGAGAATTTGAGATGAGTGCGTTTGGTATCCGTTTAAAAGACACTCTTTACGACAAGAAAGTGTTGAGAGCGCAATTCGTTTTCATCCGTAGGAAGAAACGACACATGAAGTGGTCAGCGAGTGAAATGAACCCGAATGCCGTTGACCTTTGAACATTTTTATGCGAGCGCGCTTGGATGGAAAAAATGTGAAATTGTCGAAAGGATACATTATCGTCGTTTTTATTATTTGCTAAAATTTCACGGCCAATCTCCGGCCGGCAACTCTCCTTTTCAGAGCCGCGTGCGAAATTGGCGTTTTGGCACTTGGGTGCGGAATTTCTTTACACGCTTGTCACTAAAAAATTCGTGCCCAATTAAGGTATTCATTATTTAACACCAAAATTATATCTATACTGCATCCTCTATGAAAAAAAGTAATCGCTTTATTAACTTCTTTTGCAACTCAAATTATTCAAACTACTTTTAATGTATTTAAATATTATTCATAGTCTTTAATTAAAAAGCAATATAATTAAATTTTAAAAATATGGTCGGACTCTGTTGAAATTTTTGGCCAGATCGTCTTGCCATAGTTGTATTGAAGTACAATATTTTACTATTTTTTAATCTGCTGTTTAAAGTTTTCTTTAATTTAATTTTGCTTTTAAACTTTCGAGAGCTTATGAAATAATTTCCTCTCTTATATCATAAATATTATGTGCAATTTCTAGAAATTTTTTTTCCAACTTAATTACTTAACAAAATGTGTTTGATTGGGTTTCAACAAAAATGTCAAGAAAATTTCAAAATATTGTGAAGATTATATTTTTCAGATAAAACACTTAATTGAAACAGGGGACATTATGAAAAAGTCAGCTCTGTATCACATTTATAAGTCACGTTAGATCCCTTTTAAAAACCGTTGGTTTGAATAACTGAAAACAAAATATTAATATTAATTTATTACAGACTATAAAAAAAATCCAAAATCCGATATAAATAGCATGTTAACAGGATGTTTGATTTAATATAGGTCAAAGGTGCTGTAAAAACCGCGCAAGGAGAATTATTTAGAGAGAATAAAATTAAACCTTCAAATGTGTAATTGTAATTGAGGTTCACTCCCATGCATTCACAATCAGTTTCCGTTTCTACAATTACCTTCATACTCTTGTCGTAATTGCACGGCACTTTGTCACCAAAGTGAGCGTGGACGTGAGCGAAATTCGCAGCTCTTTTTTCCATACTGCCAACTTTCAAATAAATTTCAGACATAATTGAGAGGCTTGGTCCTCTCAACGCCCACTCTGCCACCTCAATAGGACATTTATGAAATTTCGCACAAAGAAATCATCCTCGTCGCGCGCGTATTATTGTTAACGCGCGAGAAGAAGAAGTTGGTGTTGTATGAAAAAAGAAAGAAGAAAGCAAGACAATGCACTCGAAGAAAGAAAGAAAGATTCCCTTTCGCCCAACCCATAGCATCAACACAGCACAAAAGTTTAACTTTCCAACATTGACCCAACCGCATATATGATTTCGCAGCGATACAAATTAAGCCGGGGTCAAAATTAATTTCCGACAGCTCTGATATGAGAGGAAAAGAAGAGCATAATTTTCATGACGAGCGCGGCCAAATAGAATATTCAAAGCGATTTCTTTTTGCAAGAGCACAAAAAAATTATAAAGTCGGCTTTTATATTTATTATTTTTAGTGTTGAGTCACTCGGGGAGAAAATGAAAACGAATGTTGCGTTATGTCGCGCTCATTATCAAAGGTGATAATTTCCCATGCATCTCTCTCTCGTCATCAAAAGGTTCGGTCCAAATTAGCCTGTCGCGTAACTCGCTCGGCGTTTTGCGGCGAGAACTTATTTGAACTTCCTTATACAATGTCGGAACGCTGAAGTCTTCCTGTCAAACTTAATTGCTGTAGTGGTCCCGTTTATTCAAAAGTTGAGCTCATCCTTTGGTATTTTCTACTCGCGGTTTTTCTCAAGACTGACAATGCATCTGTGACACGGTGTTAAAAAAATGAGCATCCTTTCCCTTTCCTTTTTGTTTGTTTGTCGATTCAATAGTTTTGACGGGGCCTTGTTTAAGCGTTGCCTTCATAAAAAGTATGAAAACGTAAGCACACACAAAGTCTTAAAAATAAAAGTACTGAACTGACAATGAGTGTACAAATTTTATTACATAATAAAATTTTCGCTTTTTGAGTCATAATTTCATGAGTAAAATTAAATTATTAATACATGCAAGACAGAATATCCACACTACTTTAAAATCCAAATTACTGTTGCACACCTATTGAATATCATGTTGATGATTTTTTTTTTAAAAGGCACAATATTCAAACCATAACAAGAATTTATAAAATTATATTTTAATGTAAAAAGATAAAAATGGCAATTTTAATCTATAATTCAGTTTCAAAAATCCTTTGAAACTTTGAAAACTTCAAATAATTTTTAAAATATAAAAAATAATATAATATTAAACAAATTTAAAATTTTATTATTCTAGATAATTAAATTTGTTGTATAAATTTAAAAAACTATCTTAGTTTGCGTTTTTGGCATTATTTATTATCAAAAAACTTATTTTCCGAATATTACAATTTTTTTATTTAATCATTATAAATTGTACTATTTTTTTTTTGCATTTTGGAGCTGCATCTCCACGAGAAAGGTAGAAAAGAGGCAACACTACATAATTTGGGATATTATTGTTAGGTGGGTGAGACACAGAGATTCAATTTTTGGCCCCATTTAAAAAAATGCACTGAAAATCTTGCTTGTCCAACCCATCTTCCAAAAGCCTATAAGTCATCACTTTGAGCAATAATGCAAGTTGCAAAGTAAAAATAACTAATCTTATCAGAAAGAATAAGTAATTAATTCACTTTTAACTATGGAATTTGAGTTGTGTATTTGTCTAAATTTGTTACAAAAAACATTGATTGAAAGAAAACCGAGCGTTGGCTGCAATTTGTATTTTAAACCAATGGATGTTCAGTTAATTTAGTACACTAATTTTAATAAAGAAATAAAAGTGACAGCGCTCGCTATAATAAAGGTGTCAAGCTTCTCATCCGCCAGCACCAAAAATGAACAAGTCAATTTGCTGAAATAATCGTTTGAACGCGAGATGAGTGTGCAAATAAATTATCGACACCACGAATTGGACGCAAGGCCGCCCCGCATTTCTCGCTGTTTGTCCAACGCGCTTCTCCCCGATGTGTGTACCAAAGTGAGAGTGTTTGCCGTGGAGCATCTTAAGCGCCATCGCATCTATTGTCGAGGAATGAGCCCTGCTCTTTTGTGCTCATCTGCGGCGCCCCCGCTGCAGAATCCCCACTTGCAGCCGAGCCGAGACTTATAAAGATCCCCACGGGAGCTTGCAGACGCTTAAATCTCTGCAGTCTTGCCTCTAGCTCGGATTGCCAATTCTCAGAGGTACCAAAACACTTTCTTTCTATCTAATGTCCCAGCTTGAATTTTAACAATTTTATTTGAATAATTTAATTGTGAAGGGAAGTGATATTTATTGTGTTTGACATCTTCGACTGCTGTTGCAGGTCCATCAAGGATGAGGACCTTCCAAGTAGTGGCCATTTCTTTGGTGAGTACAAATTTTTCAAATATTTATTTTTAACTTTTTACATTATGTTACCGATGTAATTAAATAACAGATTTCTATAAATTCAAAGTTACAAAATTGTGTTGAAGATATATATTTTTTTAGAGAAGCATTGAGCAATTGAAATTACGAAATTTTATGCAGTTGCAAATTAAAGCGTCCTGTTTTCCTGGGTTTTTAGCTTTGTTTTGTGTAAAACAATAAACTCTAAGTACACTTTGATTTTTTTATCTGGCTTTTCGTAAATCACATTTTAAATAAAAATTAGATCCATGATGAACATTTTATATAAAAAAATAAGCAATATTTTTTAGGAATCTTGTAAGTTTAAATAATTGTTGAACTTCAATTAATTAAAAATTTCAAAAACGTCAAATTTACGTCGGTAAAAATAGCAAAAAATTTATATCTTTTGTAATTCAAAGTAATTGAGTCATTTCATCAAGTGCAAATTTGCAAGCTTAAAAAAAAATGATAAAATCAGATAATTATGGGGTCAAGTTGATTGGTGCCTGATTTACAAGATGCAAGGATACGCATTATGCAGTGTGCAGAAAGATGTGCTGATTTGTGTAAACTCCAATGCCAGATCATAAACTTGCGCGGATCATCTTTAAAGATAAAGGCTTATAAGAAAACTTAACGGTAGATTGCTTTACTCCTACGGTCAAGAACCATCATTGAGCGAGGTTAGGGTTAATTCACTTTTAATTCAAATTTCATACTTAAAACTTCCATTTATTTCAGCCAAAAATTCAAAGGTTGAGGAAAATTAATAGTGTTGTGTAAAAGAAAGTTAACGTCAATTTGAATGGAATTATTCGTAAAGGTCTATTACAATTAAAGCACCTTTAGAGACTTTGTTAAGCGAGAGAGCAGATTAATAACAGGTCGGAGCACGCGTTGAACAAACTGCTCGATTAACTCGTCACGACGACTGTAAAAAGCCATTATTGGTGTTGCGGAGGCGCGAACCCTGAATTAAAAAGTCTCTCGCCGGTCACGGTGCCGAAATTAGACCCTTTTGCGGAGAGTTAAAGGCACGCACCCGATCCGCAGCATTTTCGGCGATTTCTCCGGCAAAATTTGGAACGCGAAGGGCGGTCGTGGAGAACAATGCAATTTTCGATCATATGCAGCATAGCACAGGTGTCTTCGAGCACGAAAAGAGCGAAAGGAGACGCGACCTTTGGCCCCCCGACTGGCTGCACCGACTCATCTCTCAGGATGCTGAGAGAGAGTACAGCACGAAAAAAAATAGAGAATCGCCAGTGAAAGCATGAGCAAAAGTGGCGTGGGAGCATTTTTCTCACAGATGCATAATTGTTTCTTTTTTCTCTGCTCCCTTCGTCGTCGCATTCAATATGAAGTTGTATGAAAAGTTTTACTCCGCCGCGAGCCAGGAAAGGTCACGCGTTGACACAGCGCGATCATTATCATGCAAATATGAAATCGTCGGCGAGAAATTGGAAATTGCAATTAGAGAGCATGATGAAAAGAAACCGACGTCGTTCGGGGTTTAGTGCCACGGTTATTAAAAAGTGATTAGTTTTCATTTAACACCTACAATGATTCTCTTTGTAAGTGAGAGTGTGAATTTTAATTTTTCTCAAACCTATAAAATTAAATTTTTTTAACGTTTAAGATTATTTAAAGAACCAGTAAAATATCTATAGAACAATAAACAAATTTATAATTAGAACTAATTTAAAGCTGATTTAACTTTTATAATTTTGGTTTTCCCTGATGAGTTAATCGGAGTCATTTATTGTTTCATAAAAGAAAACATCATCTTCTCTATAACCTGCATGCTCCCTCAAAGATTGTGACATAATTTCAATATTTTTCTTTAGAAAAAGTTTGTTTAAATTTGATTTTGCACTGAAACAATTTTTACCAAATGAATAATAAATTCCAATTTTTTTTTATGTAACTTCTTTGATTATGATTTATTTCAAAATAAATCAAATTTAAATAATTTTAACATAATTTTCTATTTTTTTCTTTCCATTTTTTCAGGCCCTTTGTGCAGTGTCACTCGCTGCACCTGAAGCACAGAATAAGCGGCAGGCCCTATTCGTCAGGCAACAAAGACAGCAGCCTTCAGGCTACAACTTCAACAGACCTGATAATCCCCTGATCGAAGACCCAGCACGTGAGTTACTTAAAAGATCGGCGCATACAATCATCAAAGTCAAACGCTCATAATTCTTTGAAATAACATTTTAACACGCATTCTTAGTTTTGGGTTTGTGGGGAGCGCTGACCAGTAGGTGTTTTATTGCTTGCAGATGATAGGCAAACCCGCCAAGCTCAATCAAACTTGCCCCTCGAAAATGTTTTCCGGTGGTTCCGAGGCCAATTCGACGATGATCGGTCTCAATCGACCGCGCGCAAAGGTTCATACAAAGCTATTTTTTGTTTATAAACCCGTAATTTTAAATTTAAGTGCGGATTAACTGTATAAAAAACTTCTCTCTCTCTGTACAAAGGATTAAAAATTTCCATAAAAAGGCTTGATCGTATCAAGGTCAATTAAAAAAAGATGAGAGCAGCCTCATGAAATATTTATCAAGTGCGCATTAATTATGAAAAAAAATACGCGCTCTTCTGCTTTAAAAAAGTTAACCTTTCGCTTTTTTACTCACTCATTTTGCTCCTGTTTGTATTAACCTAAATTCAGACATTCCTCATTTTAATCACTTTTTGTTCTCCATAATTTTCATTATTATTAATTCGTTGCTTTTGCACGACAGCTACTCGCGATTCCGTTCAGGACAGTTCGGCCGACGTGCCCTCTCGCCAGTATCTTCCCCTCCCCGCCCAGGACAAACCCCGTCCCTTCCAACCCCAACCGGCCAACCCGAGGCCAGTGACCACTCGCCCCAGCGTCCCTGTCACTTCCTTCCCTAGCTACCAAACCACCACCCTCCGTCCGATCATCACCGACTCGGACTCCTCGGCCGCCACCAATGACGAGGACCACCACCATCACGGCGCGCACATTGAAAACATTGATGTCGTCTGCGCCAAGGACCAAATGACCATCAAGCTTAAGTTCAGCGGACCCTTCGAGGGTGTTATCTACTCCAAGGTCAGTTAAAAAACATGTTTCGAAATTCTAGTGGAGATAAAATATTGGATTAATTGATTTTAAAGGGGATCTATCTCTGCATTTTTAATAATGTTTATAGGTTACTTCCATTTAACTTGGATGTAATTGAAAAAAAGATTTATTTTCATTGGAAACTTGCTGAAAATAATTTTCTTTAAGATTTTATAGGAGAAATATTGCTTAAAATTTCTTCCAAAAAGCTCCACATCACTTAAAAAATTCATCTGAAAATTAATTAATAATTATTGTTATTTATAATACTTTGAGGTAAATTTTCTTTCTTATTCTCAGTTTATCTGATGATATAACTGTATATTTCTGTGGCAGGGTTTCTACAACCAGCAGAACTGTAGGTATCTGGAGCCCAACTCTGGAAGGTCCAACACTGAGTTCACTGTTAGCTTGGACTCTTGCGGAACTCAATTCGTAGATGAATTCAAGACCGGCGGCCAGGCCTATCTTGAAAACGTGCTAGTCCTTCAAAATGAGCCCGGAATTCAAGAAGTAATTTTTTTTTACTTATTTTCATTTAATTATAGTAAGAATAAAAATTTTGCTATTCATGCTCATAGAAGAGATTAATTTTGATTGATCGCAGAAATTAATTTACTTTCCAAAATCTTAATTAACTTTTGTTGTGCAGGTGTGGGACACAATCCGCCGCGTGCGTTGTCTGTGGGCCGGCAACATCAAGGAGGCGCTCTCCACCTCGCTCAACGTCGACGTTCTGAGCCAGGAAGTCGTGACTTTCAGCGGCGATACTGCCTCCGCGCGTCTCGATATTCAGGTACGTGTATCAAATTAATATTTTCGAATCTCCACGCGGTCGTTTGTTTCATGAGTCTCATTGTTCGTTTTCATTGAAACTCTACGAGTTGTTTGCGTGATAACAAGCAGAGAGACGAGTCTATTTCGAATTCGGTGCATAATTAATGCGCCTTCAATTAGAGGATGCGCCCTTTCTAATTCCCACGCGCGGGAGAAGTTGGCAGATGGGCGCGCGCTGATAAATTCAATTGTGCGAAAACAGCGCCAGGAACAAGGCAATTTTGTTTTACTGCGACGGCTGTTAATGAGCTCGCTTCAGATTTGGGTTAAGGAATATATAAAAATCTTGTTGCCCCATAAAATGTGCAAGCTTTTCGCGCACAATTAAAGCTTAACGTTTAAAATTCCATTGCAAAACCGACGATTGCTCATTTTACTTTTTTATACGGAAATTCTTTTCTCATGTCAAAACTTCTAGGTTGACATTTCATTCGCACTTTTTCACACCATAAAAAAACATTCCCACTACGCAGAAGGTTTTGAAATTTATTTAATTTTGTTTCTTTTTGAAGGTTGGACGCGGACCTTTCGCCGCCCCTGCTAACGGTTTGGTCAAGATCGGCGAGACGATGACCCTGGTGGTGACCGTCGACGGAGATCCGGAATTCGACATCAGCGTCGGCGAGTGCGTCGCCCACGCCGGAGACCGCGACCGTGGAGGCCCAGTGGTCAAGTTGACCGACGCCGACGGCTGCCCCCTCAAGGCCAAGCTGTTCCCCGACCCCTTCCAGACGACCAAGGACACGCAGGGCACTGGAGCCGCCGTCCTCGCCTACGCCTATTTCCAGGCGTTCAAGTTCCCCGACCAGATGGAGCTCAACATCGAGTGTGAAGTTGAATTGTGCAAGACTGGATGCCGCGTCTGCCCAAGAGGAGTAAGAATTGAAATTTGGTTCTTAGGCTCAAATCTAATAATAAATTTTTTCTCTTGGTGTTGGCGGTCCAGAAGTCTGCCGGACGTAACAAGCGTGCTGCCAATTCCACCGAGACTGTCAGAGAGAGTCTGGCCGACCCAGTCAGGCTGGTCAGGAAGGTTCACGTGGTCACTGACGATGACCTCGCCCTCATTGAAGAATCCACCCTTGGATCCTCAACCATCATCAACGTTGCTTCTGGTAAGTTTTTCTTCACTAACAATTTTTCAAATTTTAAAAATTGCTCTTATTCAGCTCAAGACGGAATCTGCGTTTCAACTTCTGCCTTTATTTTGGGCTCTACGTTCCTCTTGGTCCTTCTGGCCAGCGCCTCAATGACCAGCGCCTGTTTGTGGCTCAAGAACCAGAGGGTAAAGGGCAACGGCGCCTAACTATGTAAATCGAGAATCCAACGGGAGACCAACTGATATACGAGCAAGTGTATTTATTTTATACCAACTCACTGTGCCAAGCAAGTAGAAAAGCTTTCTGTTGTAGATTAGTCTGATTTATATGTATTGTTGTAAAGTTAACTACTGAGAGATATATGGAGGAGCAAATGTGTAAAAGTGAGCCTAAATTTTGATTGCGGGTATTTTGCTCATTTTACATTTAGATACTGTGCTGATAATCACTGTAAATATCGCAAGATTAATAAATCTAAGACTTCCCTTTTTTAAATATGAATAACTTTTTATTTTGATACCCTTGAAAACTTCACATCAAAGAATTTAAAAGAAGTATAAATCTGTAGACACTTGTGCATTTGTTCTTTTAAAAGCAATGAAATTAAAATAAATAATGATTGAACTAGAAAAGATTTCTGCACAGTGGACAGGTTGAGTTGTTGCTGGTGTGGAACCAACGGTACTGCAACATTTGCAAATTACGGAGTTGAGTAAATCGTCCCGAAAATGATGAAAATTTGTACTCACCAAACACGACGAGTGGAATTTCTTGTGGCACGTTCGGCAGGAAAGCTTTGGAATCTGGTAGTTGGAGCTGTGCAGGATGGAGTAGCAGATGTAGCACTCTTCGACTCCCTGGAATTTGTTGTCCAGATTCCTCTTCCACAGCATCAGACCATCCCAGATAGACCCGTTCTGCAAAAATTAATTATTAACAAATCGATTTTAAATTTTACAATCATTTAATACCTGATGAGTTAAGAAAATGGTGAGTTGTTTGACCCACTGCTTCCACTTGGCAATATCAATAGTATTATTGCCCTCGACCCTGATCGGTCCCAGTGGGTGGTTTGCAGGCATAGTCACTGTTAGCTCCATCCTGACCTCATCAATCGTGTAAGCAGCAATGACTTCTCTAGCAAGGGGGTGCACTTTGATCTAAATAAGAAAACAAAAATATATATTATAAAAAATCTATGTGCAGAAAGCTTTGCAATAAAGTACCTCAAGTCCAGAACAGCTCTCCTTGCGCTCCAGTACTGACTTCATTTCAATTCCTATCACATGTTTGGACACAAGTGAGGCAGTGAGTCGTTCGACCAATCCTGCTATCTGCGGGTCCAGAGACGTCCACCAGTCTCGAACCAAGGCGGGAAGGTGAAGCAAGCTCTTCAAGTATATCCAGCAGGCCATTTTCATGATGCTGCCACTGGTGTAGGTCCCCTCGTAGCTGGGGCTGTGTTCATGGGTGAACATGTCTGCAGCTTCTTTGCTGACTAACCTGTCAGAATTGGCGTGGAATGGCTGGATTACGTAGTCCGGCATCAGACGGAAAACTATTTCCAGCATTGTCTTTGTGTAGCCACCATTGCTATAGCAATTTAAATTTAGAATTTTCAGACAAAAAATGTGTAATTTTCATTACTTTAGCCAGCAGGAGAGTTGGTATCGAAGCTCCGACTTGGCTTCTTTGCACATGTCGAGCAGCAAACTCCAAATCATAAAGTAGGAATAAGTGTAAATATGGCTGTCGGTAAAAGGCTGGACTATGCAGCAGTCTCCAACTCTGGAAAAATATATTTTTCGATTTTTTTTATTACTCATTACCAAAACTGTTAGTTACCTGAAGTCCATCAGCATTGCCTCCACAACTGTGTGGGTTTGAGAAAGTTCTGCTTGTAGGAGTTCACAGGCTAGTAGCTTCGTGTCAACTGCGTCAGTCTCCATGGACAGTAAGTAATCCTCATCCTTTTTAACTAGCTCTTTCAGAAGTCTGAATGTTTAGAATTTAAAATTGAAAAATAAAATTTTTTTTGTTAAAATGTAAAATTTACTTCTTGAGCAAGTGGTAAGCCGTAACTTTCAGGTTCCGCTCAGATGAATGAAGAAGTGGAGCCAAAACGAGGACAGTGTCTTGCACATTTTTATCCTGATTAGAAATTAGCCTGTGTTGTTTGACCATGTGTTTTGGAGGGGAATGAGACGCCAACCAATTTTGTGGAGCGCTTGCAAGACACGCTCCAATTGCAGAAACCTTTGTCTGCTCAAACAGTGGAACAATCGTAGAATCTGAAATTCAATTTTTATAGAAGCCCAATTTAGAGAAGCAAATTTGTTTCTACCAAGTGCATTATAGAAAAAAGACATCAAAATTGAGTAAAATTCAGGCACAAAAAGAGCCCTCCATTCATCCAAGAGATGCTCAGGGTTGCTCAGGTTTGGTTTAACTCCCGAACTTTTCTCTAGTCTCTTCATGAAAAACTGGATATTCTTCACCAAAGGGCAAAGAGCAACCAGTTTAGCAGCATGAATAGGATTGGTTGGTTGCATCCTGCATAAGAAGTTTTAATTTTGACTTATATGAAATCATTTCCAGACTTACGTCAAAAACTTCTTTGCATCTTGAAGGTAGGAAGCCAAAGAGCAGAGAATCGTGTCCCACTGTGTATGGATAATTTTGTGGGCTTGAATTTCAGTCATGCGGGTCAAAAACTTGATCACAGCTATGAACTTGTTGTGGTGCTCCATATCCTGACTAAATTATAAACAGAAAATAATTAAATGAAAACTGAATTTTCTTATTAGTATTTCTACTTACTCAAAGACAGATTTCCAGTAGTCAAGCTTATTCCACTTGATGATCAAAGCCAGCAACTTGTCTACATCATCAGTGTGCTTCCTGAAGGCATGGAAATCGGCATAATATTGGGCACTCATTGGATCTTGTTTCTCCAGAAGAGAAAGTCCTTCTTCATGGTATCGAGAGGAGACTTTTTCCTCAAAAAGGATGCTTTGAGACTGTAAAATGTACCAAATTAATTACATCAACAAATAAATTAAATATATGTACAGAGGAGAGCAAATATTTTTCTATGCTTGAAAATCGCAGGAAATTTTTGATGCCAACATATTTTGGCACCAAGACCGTGGTTCCAGAAGGAATTTACAAAGGCCGTGGGCCGAGATGGCTACGCGTGAGAAGGTGCACCAGATTAACCTGTCAGGGCCTGGCGTCAAGGCCTCCAGAAAGAGCCAAATCACGCCTACGGCCGTCTCGCAACGCCTCAGATTGTTTCCGAGCTTGGAGAACGCCTACGGCCGTCTCGCAACGCCTCGGATTGTTTTGGGGATTGGAGAACGCCTCAGGCTGCCTCGTAGCACCTGGGACGCCTATCGCTGTCTCTGAACACCTTGGATGGTGGAGGGACACAAGGAGCTTGAAAAACGTGAATTGCCGTCCAGGTTTGCTGATTGCTGTCTTTACCAAACTAATTATTAACAATATATGAAATAATTTTTTTATGGATTTGCAAATCAGTTGAATAAATCATCAAAAATTTTCAAGCGTAGAAAAATACCTGCTCTCCTGGTACATTACCTGATACATCCACAATCTCCAAGGCTCAATATCATCCGATTGCTTAGAAAGTTCCAAGTATAGCTTTTTGCAATGGAGATTGTCCCAATTACATAGCTGAAGCACTACCCAGGAACTACAATAATCTCCTGATTTCAGTCTAATTGAACAAAATTGTGAAAAAAAAATAAGAAAGAATTATTCATTTTACTGTTTAATGAGAGTGTTGGAAAACTGTTCAGTTTTATAGGGATAAATATGCTTCCAAAGAGACTCCACCACATTCTTCAAAAGGGAAATGTCCACAGATATTTTTGAGCAGTTCGGATTCTGTAAAAATTGATTGTTACAAGCATTTTCTATGATTGTTTGTGATAAACATACATTTTTGTAATTGGCGACAGTTCTGTCACAAATGACAAAGGCTTGCACAACATTGAAAAATTCATCATAAAATGCTTCTTGATAGGCCACTTCAAATTCAGAATCTCCTTGTATAGGCTCCTCATCTTCAAGCCTTAAGCACTCCTGATCTTTGGCATCTCGAGAATACTCCTCCAGTCGATTTTGAATGTCCATAAGAAGATTGGCTCTAAGCAGAGTTTCAACAGTGAAATCAAAGATGCAGTCAACGCTGGTTGCAATTGGAATAGGTTTGTCACTTAGCCAGTGCGCTCCTTGCACGATTTCATTAAGAGCACATGCGTCTTCGAGTTGCTTTAGCCAACTTTTGTATTTAGACTGTTCATTCAGAAAAAGGTCAAGAGCGTCTTTTGAATTGACAGCTGAAAGAAATTGGCCAACACATGTGACTGGTTTCACATTCAAGAAGGAGAACTCTAGTCGAGCAGTGGCGGCAAACTTTTTTGTTAGCTCAGTCATATCAGCACCGGAGTTTTTTAAGTGCAGAATTCCATTGACAAGGGCGTTTTGCAGACTGTTTGAAGCAGATTGGCTCAGGCCGACAGCCGAGCAACACAGTTTGAAAGTTCCAAAGAGCAGCTCTTGTAGGGTTTTATCACAGAGCTTGAACTGCTGACTGAAGAGAGAGTTGGTTAGTTCGCCAATGAAATTTGCATAAGATTCCAGAGTGGCTCTGTCGTCCAAGGCTGTTTTTGGAATTGCCAAAGCTTCACAAAAAACAAGCATGATTGCTGACACGGTGCTGAAGTTTGCAAAAATCTCTGTAAAATTACATATTTTAATAGAGAATAAAAGTTGAAAGGATAAAAAAAGATACAAACCCCTGTCACTTTGTGTAGATGGGGAGAAGCAGAGCTTCAAAATTGCCCACGCAGTAGATTTCTGCTTCTCTGAAGACTCAAGGACGTTGGACACTTCCTTTGCAAGGGTTAGCATGACTTCACTCATGCTTGGGCTTCGAAGCCAAACAATGACGGACTTTTCACCCATTTTATCAGCATTTATAGCCTCGTTGATGCAGCAGAGAAGAACAGATCGATCGTCAATCTGTATGAAAATAGTTGATTTTTTTCTTTTAAAGCAGATATCAATTACCTTTGTGAAGTTATCATAGGCCCTCAGCTTTTCCTCGTCATTAAGGAACTCAAAAAGCATGAAGATGAGTTGAATCAACTGCTTCTTGTCTCCGCGCTCCTCAGTTAACAGTTTATAAACATCCTCGTAAAAATCAATAGCTGCAGGTCTAACAGTCTTGAAAAATTCCTCGCCCTTGAAAGACTTTGTGATGAAGTAAAGCGTCGAAACTAATTTTTCAGACTGCTTAGAGATTAACGCAGCGTCAAGCACAGAAGTGGCAGCAGTTGTAGCAATCTTGTGCAGAGGGATCCAATACGGAACTCTCGGTTTATCCTCAGGCAAAATCTCTAGCCTCGGAGAATCCTCCTTGTCAGCTTCAGCAAAGTTCACTCTTCTGGGCTTCTTGATTTTTGATGGATCGGCAAGCAGGACGATCAGATCCATGAAAGACTGGTAGTTGAGTTCTTCATTTTTGTTAAAGTCGGACAACATCGACTGAAAGTGACTCCAAATTAATTCTGCCAGGGAACTGTTACTCCAAGAGTCAAGCAAGTCTGAAAGTTGCAAAGCAAGGGCGTTCACTGTCAGGTGCAGTTTGCGATCCAAGATGCAGGCATCGAGAAAAGGCAAGAGCTGCAATTTTAAATATTAAGAACTAGAACAGATTTTCATCTTCTTATAATACCTGTTGCTTGATCAAAGCTTCTTTTGCTTCCTGGGCATCTTCTCTTCCAGCAATGTATCGGAGACATTCAATGTAAGCAATGACAATAGCACTGCATTCGGACATGCTCTGCTGAACTGACTTTTGCTCAAGCCTAAGTTTTTTGTCAGTCTTAAGTGTCTTAAAATTTAAATTTTAAATACATACCCTATCAGCATGTTAGAGAAGAATTTTGAACAGAAAACATTCTTGTCCTGAGGCTCAACTTTGCTGACAAGAGGAAGCATGTTTGGAAAAATGGAAGCGGCATTTCCGTAACCCCCCTCTCTTAAAATGTGCCACAACTTTGGAAACACCACTTTCTCACAATTCACATGAGACCAGCAGTCCTGAACGAAATTAATTTTATATTATTCATCAGTATAAAAAAAAACTTACTTTGATGGCAATGATTGAACACAAGGCTGCATCCCAAACCGAAGATAGGACAGTCGGATCTTGTTCGTCCAGACTTCCGAACACTGCTGGCACCGTTTGGGCCCCATGGCCTTCAAGGAGAAAATCAGCAGAGTGCAAAATAGAGGCTAGGGCTGTGAACCAAGCTCGTCTGACCAAAGGAGACTTGTGCTTGCTCAGTTTCCAGAATTTGCTGGACGAAGTAAGTGCCTTGTTTGCCTCTACCAAACTCTTCAGCTGACCAGCTGGAAGTTCTGTTATCAAAAGTTTGTATGCAAGTAGATTGCTTGAAAGGACTCTTTCCAATCTAGCTTCCAGCTCATCTGGCAACAGGGACCTGAATAGAAAATTTATTTAGTACAGATAACATAATTTCTGCAGCTTACTTTTCATAAGCAACAGTTTCCACAGTCTGGCTAAGCAGGTTTTCAGAAATGTAAGACATAATCTCATTTTGACAGTACTTGATTGCCTCTTGGTACTTTTGCTCTGGGAATAATTCCTAAAAATTAAATCTTATATTAAAGAAAATAATGGTGGATTTATTCAATTTTCAACCTTGAAAGCAGCTTTGGCAGCACTAGCTGCTGGTGCAAAAGTGTCAAATTGGCCAACAAACCAAGGTCCGCAGAGGCTTTTCAGTTGTGGTGCCAAATTTCGACCAGCCTTTTTGGCTAGATGCTTGTGAGCTACGAAAGTTGCCTCGCGAACTCTGTGGTCTGGGTCTGTACCCAAGGAGGAAAACATCCTAGGCCAGAGTTTGACGATCGTCTTCATTTCTTGCTCCTTAGCTTTGGAACAAACGTCACCAAGCTCATGCAGTCCCTGTTTTAAAATAATTTCATTTCAATTAAAGCTAAATTTATTATTATATGTATACGACCTTAAGTCTTGTCACTGCATCTTTCTTGTTCAGCTTTTTCAAAATGAGTTGAGTTTGTGGATCAAGGGATTGCGACTCTCCATCGTCAAGAGTTAAATTCGAAAGCCCAGCAAACGAGGGCAAAGGTGATCCGAAACCCTCTGCCTGTGTAGAGAACGCAGCACTCGTCTCCAAGAGTTGAGCGCTACGACCACTGCTTGATGGCTGAAATTATATTTTTTGTTTGTTAATTTAATACATTTTGCACATTCAGAGGAAAAGCGCTTAATTTAGGCATCTGAAATTACGTAATTTCTAGTCAAGAAAATTCTATTCTCACCCTAGCATTATTTTTGGTCCTTTGTGCTTTATTCTTGCCCATTTTTCAGGTTGTTAAAATTCTTGTCATTTATAAGCAAAAATAAATTTCAGAGTATTATGGGTCAACAAGAATGGATTTAGTGAAAATCGTCCGCTTTCCACGATGCACGTCAAAAAGGAGGGAGGAGCAACGTCAACAAAGCGACTGCAGCGCCGCAGCATGGTGCTAAATTTGAACTTTCGCGCGCATTTACTTGGAGTTGCGCACTTAAAAATTCTTGCGTCCGTGTCGATTCCGCAGCCATGAGTGACCCGTGAGTAAAATTTTTCAATATTTTTATCTCGAAATATGGAGGTAATCATAATTGTACCAGTTTTCCTATGCATCCCATTTTGTTCTTTATTAATTCCCTAAAGTGAATTTGCTCATAATTCGTCGATTACCTTGGAACCGTCATAGATACGGGTGAAAATATTTTGGTCCCTCCACTGTCAACGTGTTCTGCACTGTGTATCTCACGCTGCCGCTTTGGCGATGTATGTGACGGCTTTAATTTAAAGCCGATGAATTTTAAAACTACTAGAACCGAGCCTTTATCTTCATTCCAAGTGCATTTATCAAAAATTTTCTTTATTTAAATCACCCCTATGGCAATATCAAACTAATCCGCCTATTGAAAAGGAAGCGCTTGTTTTGATTCACATCGCCGCCCTCTAACCAAAGTTTTGTCCATGTTGCAGCAAAAAGAAGGCAGTGCCCAAGGAGGGAGCTCAAAAGGGTGCCCCAGCCAAGGTTGCCCCTGGCAAGAAGTTGCCAGCAGTCCCAGAATCTGTGCTCCTCCGTAGAAAGCGCAGGGATCAGGAGAGACTTAACAAAATCAAGTCGACCCTCAAGCAGAAGGTTGATCGTCTGAAGAAGCGGAAGGAAATCTTCAAGCGTGCCGAGAACTACGTTAAGGAGTACCGCCTGAAGGAGAGGGAAGAAATCCGTCTGGCCAGACAAGCCCGCAACCGCGGAAATTATTATATTCCCGGAGAGGCAAAACTTGCATTTGTCATTCGTATCAGAGGGTGAGTTTTATTATTCACTCGCATGAACATAACTCATTTTTTAAGTCAATTATTTTAATTTCAGTATCAACCAAGTATCTCCTAAGGTCAGGAAAGTCCTCCAGCTTTTCAGGTTACGACAGATCAACAATGGTGTCTTTGTTAAACTTAACAAGGTATATTTCCTCTTACGTTCTTTCGACGTAAAACTAACACAGATTGAATTATTTTTGCCACTAAATGATGCTGAGAAATAAATTTTCTTCACGTTGGCTGAATTTTGTGATGTGATCTAACAACTGATAGCATGCATTTTGCGTGTGTTAGTGTGCATTAAATTAAAACAATTTCATTTCCTTTTATTTCTGTTGCTGAGAATTTCTTTTATTAATTTCATAAATTCCAGGCCACACTGAACATGCTGCGTATTTGCGAGCCCTACATCACTTGGGGCTACCCTAACTTGAAGAGCATCCGAGAGCTCATCTACAAGAGAGGTTTCGGAAAGATCCAGGGCAGGCGCATTCCCATCACCAGCAATGACATCGTTGAGAGTGCTCTTGGTAAGTTAAAATAAGTGCAAAAAATATTAAATTAAAATGTCCATTCTAATCCTTCATCTCTTTTTGATGAGTTGGAGATTCGCTATGGACAATATTAATTGGCATAGAGAGTGTTGGGGAGGTTTTTATGTTTCCTCAGCTAGTTTAAATTGCCTACATTTTTCCCATTAAATTATAGAGTCGACCAAATTAGAGTGAGCTGTACTGATGTTATAATTTAATTCTTTGTTCACAGGAAAGAAGGGTGACAGCATCATTTGCGTTGAAGACTTGATCCACGAGATCTTCACTGTTGGACCTAGGTTCAAATATGCCTCAAACTTCTTGTGGCCTTTCAAGGTAATAGCCTTTTCTATGATTTTGTGCAAATTGTTTAAAATCTTCTTGTAAGAACCACAGATTGATACAAAGAGTTTATATTTTAAAATTTGTAAATTCCTGAATGCCCGTTAAAATTTTGCGAAAAGTAATTTGATTATAGATTTTCTGCAATGTCATTTAAAATTTAAAACAAGTCTCTCTCTGTGCTTTTTCAAGTAATTCTGACAATTCCATGGTGCTGAAGTCTTACATGACTTTAATTACCTTCCATGCTGTCAGAAAGTAATGGTTTTCTTGGCAAGCAGAAGCGGTTTCGTAAAAGTTTCTACGTCTGAAAACTGACATCTCCAACATGCAATTAGCTCAAAAATAATGAGCTCTTCCAACGAATTCTTTTAAGTCGACTCCTGAAAAAGAAATTGAGACATTTTTTATATTTTGTTTTAGTTGAACACTCCCACTGGTGGCTGGCGCAAGAAGACGACGCACTACGTTGAGGGCGGTGATTTCGGAAACCGTGAAGACAAGGTCAATGCCCTGCTCCGTCGCATGGTGTAACTTCCTTGTAAACTGCCCTCAATTAAAGTTAAAGATTTTCCCACAAAATCCGACTTATTAATAAAAGAAAACATAAGAAAATCAATATTTAAATCAATTATTTTGTGGTGTTCAGTCTAAAACCATTGTAAGGTAAAATTGATTTTTTTATAGTAATGAATAATAGGAGGAATAAATATTTTGTAAACAATGAAAAATTATTGGAAATTTAAAAACGACTTAAAATACTTTGGGTAAAAGAGAACAGATTTTAATCTATTAGTAAAATTAACAAGCGCTTTGCTGTATATAATGCCGCGCTGCGCGAAATTTTGGCAGTGCCAAATTGTGTGCTGAATGGCCCAACGTTGAATAGAGAATGATGAACAATTGTTCCTCGTTGAATTTGCAGGTTGATACACGAAAGGCATGTACGGCCGGTTGCATGAGGCCAACACAATGGAGCGGGCACCGCGTGTAAATCAGTCGTTGCTGAAATTACGCGATAAATATTAAATGAGTTGCACCCACACCATGCGGGGCGCAATCGCACCCCCAGCGACGAACTGGTGCTTCCATCGGTGGTCCAGAGAGTGAGCGCGACTGGAGCCTCGGTGTTTGCATTTCTGTGTGGGATGCTGCGATTTTTCCCAAAGTGCGTGCGCCCTTGCGCTCGCCTGCTCGCTCGCTCCGTGGGCGCCGAAGGGCGCAGTTGCTAAAAGGCAGATAAAGTACACAGCAGCCAGTGTTAGAGGGGTGAGATATATAAATTGAGGGGGTGAATTGGAGTCGCAGCGAGAGAGAGAGAGGAACAGCTTGGCGAGAGGAGGAGGCAGCAGGGGCATCTCTCGCGCGCACGGGCAGGGTCAACCCCTTCTTGCAGTTGCCTGGGGTCACTTTCGAGCTCGACACACAAACACCCGCTGCCGCTTCACCTGCTCCACTGCACCAACCACACACACCACCGAAAGTGCTCTTCATCGACGGCGACTCCGCAGCTCTCAGCATCCGACGCCAGGCCGGAAAATCGATGGAAATAGGTAATTTTCCTGTGTGTTGTGCACGTCTCGATTTTCCGATCTTATCTCCGTTGAACCGCGGCGGCATCCGCGCCGTTTTGCCGCCCTTGCGTATTATTTTATGTTTGCTGTTTGCCCTTTCAATTCCGGCGACGCAGCGTTAATTTATCTCAGTATGTAAAAACTTGTTTTCCCCCCTCTTCACAAAAAAGTGTTTGGTTCGTAATGAAAATTCCACTTGAGTACTTTTTAATTTCTCTTTTATCTCGTCTCGTTATTCCGACCAATAAAAATGCAAATTCCTGCTTTCCAAAGTCCACAAAACGTCTCGTTCAGCCGGATTAATCGACTGCAGAAAAGCAATTTCGCCGCAAAAATCCACACCTTTGCAGTGGCATTCGGAACTACCTTCTCTGTATATTTACCTATGGAGAGAAGCTGCTGACTCGTGGACTTATTCGTTGGCGCGGCGGAGAGCAATTTGAAATTGAAATTAGGCCACGCCGCTGAAGGGTGAGATTCTGCATTATTCGTCCCGTCGGTGATATGCCGGTAGAATCACACTACTGCTCAAATTTTCCGCTCTCTCTCCGAGAGCAATATAATGAACTAACCTCTCAGCTAACGATGACGTCCCGGTAGCATTGAGCCGCGCGGTGATAAAATATAACGTTGGCTGCCGCTTTCGCCAAAGTGGATTTCGTCAAATTCAGTCGTTAGGGAAATTAAGGCAAAGAGACTAATTTTCGCAACGCACCCTGTATTTGACTATTTGTTATAGCTATACTGGAGAGGGTAATATATTTAAATTTTGTATCTCGTGAGTTTTGAGAGGGTGGCGCAGGATTTGTGCTACGCGAAATGTTCGACGGGGATTTGGCGTGTCAAATCCAATGGGCCGGAAATGTGCAGATTCATGTTGCAGACGTGCAGCTCCCGCTTTTCCCAAAGACAATATGAGATCAGTAAACAACTGTCAGCGTCAGAACGTTAATTCCACTTTCCATATTATCCTTGCAAGAAAGCTCACACTAATATATGTATATGCAACCAAAAGCAATACATATTGTTTCGATCCACCAAAAGCTTTTTCTTCTGTAAGCCAAAAATGAAAGTTACGAGCCAAGTTCTTGCCAAAACACATTTTTATGTTAATTCTGGACCAAATGTAAAGTGGATAGTTTTGCAGTTTCTGAATAGAAATCTGATTTTTATGGAAAAAAATTGTAAATTATTTTCTTCAAGAGCTCTAAAAAAAAAGTAAAAATAAATAAAAAATGGGTTCATCCGAGTGTAGAAAAGTTTTTTAGGCGATTGTTTCACCACCCGCGCGTGAATAACGCGACAGATTAGCTTTAAAAGCCGCGCTAATTAAGGCCCTCTCTCAAAAGTCGTGAAGAGGAGCCGTTTATTTTTCCGCCAGAGCAGGCTGAGGTCGCGAAAAGCGCGAAGAGCGATTTCTCTGCGGGCGAATCTTTGATGGATTAGCGCGGCTCTGCAACATTTGCGCTTTACGGCCGCGCTGCAGAGCAAGGAGCCAGAGAGCCTCGCATAAAAATTCCTGTGGGAAATCAACGGTAAATAGGATATTTATGAAAAATTCTCTCGCATGAGTTGATAAATATCGACCCGGCTGTCTATACAGACCATATCTGCAGCGGACGCGTGTACGCTCCATAAAACAAAAATTAATAAAATGGTGCGAGCGGTGATCCGTTTTGCGTTTTGTCCTCCGGCCGCCTTTAAATCCATTCTGACGTCGGCCATTTGTGTGCTGCCGGGACCCTGTGACCCCAAACACCAGTTTTTTTTATATCACTTTTCTCTTCTCCCCAAACCAAAGAGAAGGTAAACATTTTGCTCAGGTATATAAATGCAGGAACTCGCGGGGGGAGATAATAGACTGTGCTGCTTTTTGCGCGTGATATTAAACTAGAAAGTGTATGAGTAGTGCATGTTCACATGGGACGTTGACATGATGTTGGAAATCTCTTTTCAGGTCCTAAACCCAACCGCCGAGGGAAATAAAAATGGAGACGGCCACGTCAAAGAGATACTTCGACACAGGTAGGACACCTCCGAAATGCTACTGTCTCTGTCTTTCCTCTGTTTGACACGGGCCTCATGTCGACGTGTATGTGCACCCTCCACTCTGGTTTTGGAATTTATCTCTGATTTTACCGTGCCGCACTTCATCATCCTCCTCGGCCTCCTCCTTTGTTGCGTTTTTTACACAGAAAATTGAATTCTGAGCCACAAGAGAGATACCTCCAGCTTGTTCTAATGCCGAGCCGCGCGCCGGTTATTTTAAGCCAGCAGATGAGAAAAAGTGAAACACATTTCTTTTACTTTGTGCGGTGCTGGAAATTGTGTTTCCGACGCAACTGTCATCACTGGAAGATAAAGCTAGGACTGAGGGAAGATTACGGAAAAATGGACTGGCGTTTACACTGATTTCGGTCCATTTACTTTTATACCCGCAGAGAAAGTCTGTTTCATTTCTTGGCTTCCACATTTCAGTTAAACGAGCAACTAAATCTGACCGCATCATAAAATGTTTAGCAACAAAAAAGTGATCTTTAAATTGCACCAATGTTTAATTTATGAGGTTTAGACTCTACGCAGACTAATTAACATTTTAAAAGTAAATTAAATTTTAAAATGTTCAAAATTCTCACAATTAATATTTAATCCCCTGGGTCATTTACTCGATAATATTTCTAATTAATTAATTGAATAATTTTCTGTTCGTGAACTACGATCACATCCTAGTTGAAGAAAAATTTTTGATTGGGATTCAAATATAAATTATTTATTTACATTAAATGATCTTTGGAAAATTAACAATTCAAAACTGATAGATAGAAATTTATTGGACAACTTAACAGGAGAAGAAATACAATTCAAAATAAATGTATATATAAATTTATTTTCATATATTGAAAAATTATTGAGAGCGATCCTGAAACCCACGCTGGCCCAGGTTTCTGAATCACCCGTAAAAACTTGTTTTAAAGCGGATTTGAAAGTTTAAAAAAAAATTGGTTTTATGTTTTTGTTTTTGTGAGTAATTGCATTTTTTAATTGCAAATTCGCTTCTACTTTTAACAAATAAGAGTGGGAAAAATTGAAACATAATGACTTTATTGCTATCCCGGAAACCAGCAAAATGTGCACAAGCACTTTCATTAAATATTTTAAAAGCAGGGCGGAAGAAAGTTTTCCAGAACAACGATCTTCGCATTAGCGGCTGTCATGCGGATGAAAAATCACGAGAGAGTCAAATTAATTCAACTCTTTTCCTTCCTGCCCTGCCAAAAGTTGGTAATCCAGCGCTGTGAACTCTGAATTTGAGTGCTCTCTTTCTCTTTCCCTCCGTTCTCTTTCTCTCATACTCATTTGCACAGGTATATAAAGACCAAAATATGGTCTCTAATTTGCAGCGGGTTGAGCTGGCTGGCGTTTGCGTCACCACCGCTTTGGACATAATGCATGAGTGCGAGAAAACAAGGTGCCTGCGAATACTTAATGCGCACCTCTCCGGCAGAGTTGAGGAATGTCTGTCACTCGCGCTCCGTGCGACGCGTAATGTTGCGCGAGTTATTAGATGACTGATATCTATAGCGTTCTCTCCCGCCGAGCGCCCGCCGATTAAATGGTTATGCAGCCCGTGTAGCGTGAATGATAAGCGGGTTGGCTACCTTCTCATTGTCTCTTGTCTCGCAGATTGCGTTGCCAGCCAGCTAGACGCACCGACCGACGTGGCTCTCGACACTCGCGTCTTTTGTTCCACCCAAGATCTGATATACCTCCCGGGGGAATTTTTGTTACACGCGAACAATGCTGGAATTTTAATGAGTGGAGATAATCGTCGTCGTCACAATTTATTCATTCTCGGGAAAAAATATTGATTCCACGTATTTATGGGTGAATTTTTGTGTTTGGTCTTTTCCCCCATTCATGTATATTTTTTTTATGCTCTCCATTTCTGAATTTCGCTTTAGTTTGAATGAAATAGTCATTATTTTCCCCACCAACTGTTTGAACTGTTAATTTTTCTTTATAAAAGTTTGTGTGGTTATTTCTTCTTCTTCTGCTCTTTTATTGACCCAATTAATTTATTCCGCGAAACACTCAATTATAATTAGTTACGCAGCAGGACAAAACAAAGGGCTCAAAGCGGACTTTTAATTTGATTAGCAAACCCTCGGCTGCGGCGTTTGCCCTGCCGCTGCGAAGGCGTTAACTTTCATCATTCATCTCCTCACCCACATTTATAGGCCAAAAGCGTCTCCCCGTGTTTACTCTAAGAGCGCAAACTTTTGACAAACGGTCGTAAAACGGTTGTAAAACGCTGTTTCTCGCACCAAATGAACGGGGCAGATTGCGCGTGTGTTTTCTATTAATGTCCTTTTCAATTTAGCCACCCTGGATACTTCATCCCCGAGGAAATCACACTGAGTGATTTTGTCGATACTGGAAAGTTCTCTTTGCGCGCTTTTTTCTCTTTGATGCTTGATCTATCTTGATTAAGATTAACGACCCTTTTGTACGGCGCATTCCTACTTTTTCATTCTCTTTTTGCCGTTCTCTTGTTGTAATCACACGAGTTTTGCTCGCTCAGCTACTTTATTCCATTTCCGTTGACAATGATTTATCCACCGCGCACCTGCTGGAAATTAAATTTCAAATTAAAAGGAATGCCTTTAGTGCTTAGCGCCGCATTCGATGCAGGCAAGCAACTCTCTCTTTCTCTCTTGTCGTCATCCCTTTGCTCCCTTCAATTAACCTGCTGCCCTGGAAAGATGTTCTCAGTCCGCTTTCTTTCTCACGGTATATGAACTTTTGCACTTTCAGCTCCACGTTTCCCATTCTGCATTGCAAAAAGTCGTTCAGAATTGAAAAGTAGGTTAAATAAAGCTTGGTGGATTTTCCATTCAAGACGGGATGCGACCCTCTCTCTCTTGCATACATAAAAGTGAATCGAATTTCCTGGACGGAAACAATGAACAAAAGGAGAGCTCAAACTTTCGTCCTCCGAAACTTTACGATCGTCCAAACAATGTCCCTCAATATTAAAGGCGGACTTTATGAAATTTTGCTAACAGAGAAGACGCTCTAAGAGCAGGGGGAGATCAGTGAGAGATTTTGTCTCGCCACTTGGGCTTTGCTAATTAGTCTTGCACTCGCGAGTCTCCATTTTCCGGGCGAGGAAAGCTAATCTCTGTTTAAAAGTGAGATGACAATTTTGATTAATAAATAATTGCCGAGTTATTGCAGAGATGGATTTCTCGCTTGTGATAAAAGGCACTGCAGCCTTTCAGTAGCCCCATTGTTCCGCGGCAAAGTAGAGCACGGAGTCAAGAGGCTGTGGCCACTCAGCCGTTATTACATGGCCGATTATACACAATGACTGACTACATATATGTATTTAGATACAAAATGCACTTGGTGGTGCTGTCAAAGCGGCAGTTTTGTCCGAGAGACACCTTCGCGTGGCACCTCGGGAGCAAAAGAATGAGAGCGGCCCGGCGTCCCCCCATCATTGATTTTTGCCTCTCGTCTCTCCCTCGAATATGGTGGTGTGGAATGCTGCCCGGCTCTGTGCTATCTATAACACCGGCGAGTTGATCTAATTAATTTGGCCGCGTGATTGATTGATTTTTATTCGAGCTTGCATCGATCCCAAGAGTGAAACCGCAGACGCAGTCATTAGTTAGGAAAGGCGAAGCACAAGAGCCAGGGATTAAGAGGAGATGGAGATGGAAAAGCGGAGTTTCGCCGAAGTGGGTTTGCGGCGTTTGGAAACAAACCTCGTCAATAATTTACGCCATTTGCACGCTCTGGGGCTTTGGAATTAATTATAATGAGATTATAATGCAGCAACAATTGCAGGAGAGGATAAATTATTCCGCAGCTTGACAAATTGGCCACTCTGTTTGACGTGCATGTTCAAACGGCATGAGTAAATTTAAGCTTTACATGCTAACCGACGGCTAATTGAAATGCTTTCACTCTGTTCAAATGGGAAAGCAGTCAGTGTTTGAGAATAATTTAGTTACAATCAAAATAAAACGTGTGGGTAGAAGGTTTTCAATACGTTGACTTTAAATCTGATTTTATAAAGTACATTTGATAATTTTTACATAAAATTTAATCAATCGAAATTAATTTTTCGGTAATTGATCTTAAAATGTTCTGATTAATAAATTGTAACGAATTGTTCATTCCAGCGGCCAGATTAGCTTTGTGCCAACTATTGTATTTATGCACACAGAAAATTAACAAAATTGATCTCATTTCTGAGCAATTAGAGATAAAATTTGAACCCTGTATAGAAATATTTTTAATGCAATTTTAATCACTTATTATAATACTTAACATATTCAATTTATTTTTATTAACCTTTTGTATTCTCTGATTTATTTCACTTTATATTTACGGGCAGCGAAAGCAACTACATAAATCAACCGATAAATTATCCAAAATGGAAAACTCTCTACATATTGATTTGCATTCAAATCACAGTGGCACGTGCGAAATGTGCAGCGTGAGGCTAATTTGCAATTCGCAGCAGCGTCGATTTGATTATAAGCTGCCGGATGAGTGATTGCAGGGTATTGTCCAGCCCTCGGCCGTAATTAATTGGCACACGCGAGAGATGGATGCGTGGCCGAGCTGACGAGTGCATTTGACAGAAACAAAAGAAAGTACTCGCACGTTTTCCCCCGAGTGGTGCAAAAAACACCACCGATGGCGCCGCTCGGTGTTTAGAGCTCTCAGGTGGGCTGACGCAATTTGTTGACCAACGAGGTGCTTAATTGAAAAAAAAAGGAAGGAAGAAAGGAAAACAACGCGCGCGGCTCGCTTTTCTGTCTGCACATGCAAGGGCGCGGTTGTTGTTTGTATTAAAGCGAAAAAAAAAGAAAACAAACACCGGCGTAATAAATCTAGCGCAGCAAAGCCGCCGGCTGATGGATATTTTATTCCTGCTCCCAGTCATGAAATTTTTATAAGCAGTCCAAACTAAAAGCACGGCATTAGCATTAAGTATGATAATGACTTTA